TCCACTGAATCCCTGTCTCGGGCTCTGATTAACAGGAAACTGACATGAGACAGACAGAGACCTGGGACAGGCCGTATCTAAATATATCTAAATATAACCATGTAAACACTCTCCCTGGAGGCTCTGCGCTTAAATAGAACAGTCTCCAAGCATATTGTTTTCGGAGAGAGAAAATAACTTGAATGTACCAGAAAGCCTAGTAAAGACTGGATTGAGAGTGAAACCTAGAAACTCTCTGGTCGCATAAGCCTGGCCAGAGCTAACGCACATCTAGGGCAGAAGCCCACAGCTATGACAACTGGGTCTGAGGGGGTGTGGGCTGCATGCAGAAAGAACACCAGCTGAACTCTGGCATGGTGAGTCCAGGTGGCACCTAGTGGACTCCAGCCTGTGGGACAGGGAGTGCTGGCCAAGCCCATGCCCAGTCTCTGGTGGCCCCTTGCCAGCCAGCACCCCAAGGGCTCCTCCCAGATCTTGTTCTTAGAACCCACAGGGAATGCCCCTGGTCACAGGCAATGGGTGGCGGCTCAGGCAGTGCTGAGTGGAATCCTTTTGGCCTGGTCACTTCTCATCACCTTTCAAACCCTAGCCTCCTTCAGGAAGCCCAGAGGGCATGCTCCCTTCTCTAAGCGTCTCCAGCCCTGACTGTAGGCATGCTCCAGCTGGCTCAGTTATGAGTAGCTGGGAACAGAGGTGCCTAGAGGGCAGGACACTTTTTGGATCCACTTAGTGCACAGGATGGGCACACAGTAGCAAGTAGATACTGGAGAAATACCTACCTCCAGGGTGGGATGACTTGGGCCGTCAGACGTCCCTTGAACTCCTATTCATCCTTCAGGTCACAATGTAGACGTCACCCTGTATCAGTCATCACCCTGTGACCACATGTTCAGCATCCGTTGCTCTGAGGGCTGGCACTCTGTTGGTCTTGCTCTGCTCTATCCCAGTGCCCAGGACACAGCCTGGCACATAGAAGTGTGGAGTGAAACAGTCTCTCAAGAAGTGGCCCACACCCATCAAAGGGTAGATGCTCCACGCAGGCGCGGCCCATGTCTTCCTCGCGTATGCACTGGGACAAGAGCGTGCACTGAGAAGAGGCCTGTGAAGGGAGCCCACCCCCAGCACAGCTGTGTCCCAGGGTGACAAAGGACTGAGGCTGGCTGAGGCTGCCCCAAGGAATGCGGTTTCTCTGAGGGTAGCTGTGGCCATGAGGGGGGCCAGGATTCCGCTTGAATAAGCCCAGTACCACCAGCTCTCACCTCCTGTGATCACCTCCTGTATACCAGGTGCTGGGCTGAGCATTTTATACACACAGTTTTGCATTTGTGAAGAATAGGCAGAAGCACGGTCAATGCTCACATCCCTCGCCCTTCCCAGTAGCCCTTTGGGTCACCAACCCATACTCATTGTGTCGAGTCTTGGAGGAAAGGCAATTCCAGTTGCTCACAGTCTGACACTGAAGGGATCAATGTTTCCTCTTCCCACCTTGCGAGGGACCGTCAGAAGACCCCTGAGATCCACTCCAACCAGTCAGACACCCTCCTCACTTTGATCCCCACTGGGTGAAGCTGGGATGGAGGAGTGGGGAGCAGTGACGTCATCAGAGCAGTGATGGGGAGCCTCCACGAGTTGGGGGTCAGCAGGAAACAGAAGGCACACTCCTAGGGGCTCTCTGAGGAGGGTTTAGTGGGAAGAGCTGATCTGGGTGAGCAGGGTGAAGAAGGCCAACACAGGGGAGGTCATTCCTGAGGCTATGCTACGTGGGAGCTGTGGCCACCCCAGCCTGAGCAGGCAGAAGGAGGGCGGGGTCATGCATGTACAGAGAGAAGCTGTGGGAGCAGCCACCTGTGGGAGCCATGACCTTGGTAGAGGGTCTGGCCCAGGAGCATGGAGTACTCTTACCTCTCTCTCCCACTGCCCTCTGACCTCCCGGGGGTGACTGGATGCTATCCAGCACAAGATCAGTGCTGTTTCTTGTGTCCTTTGGAAATTGGTTCCCACGCCTGGCCTCTGGCCTCCTGTGGTTGCCCTAAGTCCCTGTAAACCTTGTGTGAAAGCCTGTTCTGCTTGTTGTCTAGAGTTGGTTCTGTTCCTCACAGCCACAAACTCTAAAGGCATTATGCTATTATTCCCTTTTAACAGATAGGGAGACTGAGGCTCCCAAGAGCATTGGTGGCCCAAGGTCAGACCACGCCGGCAGGAGCATCCGGGGTGAGTCAGGTCGTGGAGGCTGGTCTGGCTGTGCTGAGAGCTCTTTGCTGCGAAGCACAGTGCAGCCACCTCACCCGGTTCTGGACGGCTGACAGGGTCTCAGGCCGTGGAGGGCTGGGCTGCCTGTCACCCGCTCTGCAGGAGCTTGAGGATCGTGACCCCGCTGCACCCGCCCTGTGTTTGCTTCTCCCCATGACTGACTGACCACTTTTCTCTCTGTTGCTGACTGACTGACTGATCAGTTGTGGCCTGGTGGCTAGGAAGCAGAGTCGTGTGATGTGAAATGTGGCCGCCCCTGTGCATGGAACAAGGCAGAGACAGTCCGGGGTGGGGCAGGCGACTCAGGCAGTTCAAACCGAATGAACACAGCTCTCACTGGTGTTGGGCGGGAATTCGCTGTGAGGCGGGGGCAGAAGTGCACAGGAGGCCAGGCCAGTCGTGCGGCTGGAAGGCCTGAGGTCCAGAGCACAGGAATGCTCCGCACACACCTGCCATGCTCACTGCTGGGGCTCAGGCAGGGCCCGAGCCTGCAAGCTGCCCTCCTCACACTGGCATTGCCCCACCTCACCCCATCTGGCCCCAACACCCCCAGTAATCACTAGGTAAAAATCCCTGGTTTCTTGCATAAGCAATGGGTGCTTTGTGGAAATTACCTAAGTTATAATCCAATTACACAATAATGACATTGGGATGGCTCTGTAAGTACAGCATTAATTAACTTTGATGGCTCTCATAAATTATGTGGGAGACTGATGGTGGGAGATGGTGGGTGCAGTCCAGTGGGTGGGAAGTGGGGGCCGAGTGATAGCCCTGGAGTCAGGAGCCCCTGAGGGACAATGGGAGAGGGAGAAGTGTCCCCAGCCCACTCCACCCCCAAAGCATAGTCTCAGGGCTGGGTGCCGTCATCAAAGTCGCCTACCCCAAACCTGCCCCCTATGCTGTGCTTGAAGCTTGACACTGGGACTCAAATGGCTCTAGTACACAGAAGTCACCGCCTCTCAAGGCAGCAGCATCAGGGTAGGCTCCAGCATGGATGTGGGCACTTTGGCCAGGGCGCTGAACTTCCCTGGACTTCAGCCTTGCCCTCTGGGAAGGGCAGGGTCAGTCTGCCTTACAGGATGCTGTGAGGCACAGATGCAATGAGGACCTACAACCTTTAGCTCAGGGCGGCCAGTAGAAAGGTAATGTGTACCTCCAATGTGAGCCGCATACTTAATGTTATATTTTCTCGTGGCTTCATTAAACAAGTAAAAATAAACTGGTAAAACTAATTTTAATCATATATTTTATTTAACCCAATATAGCCAAAATATTATTTTAAGATGTAATCAATAAAAAGTATTAATGAGATATTTCACATGCTTTTTAAAATATTAAGTCTTTGAAACCTGGTGTGTAATTTACATTTACTAAGCATGTCCCCATCAGGTGCTCGCTGGGCAGCCGCAGGGAGCTGGCGGCTGCTGTCCTCGGCGGTGGCGACGAGGTGTGCCGGGCAGACAGCCCCCGCTCAGCACGTCAGTCCCCTTCCCTCACGGCCCCAGCCTACCAAGCCTGTCCTCCCGTTGTCCTCCTGCTTCTCTGCAACAATCTTTCACGTTGGGGAGCAGGTGTCACCCAAGTCTCCTAGAGCCTCCGTCTTGTTGGTTGAGCACATCCAAACCATCATGGAGCCCTGTCTTCCAACATTCAAAGCACCTCCTGAATCCAACTGCTTCTCACCACCTCCACCTCCCTGGTCCAGGCTACCACCATCTCTCCCTGGATCCCGGGACAGCCTCCTGACCCGTCTGCCTCCTGCTGCCCGTTCTCCCCCCAGCATCACTAAGAGCATCAGTCAGATGGTGTCGTGGACTCGTCTCTCATTTTGGGTTGCCCCCAAAGCAGAGGCTGCGACAGGGCTTGGGAGCAGGTAGTTAATGCGGAAGGTGATCCCAGGTAGCACCATCGAAGTCTCTGGAGAGTCAGAGGGCGGGAAGAAGAGCTGATGTACGAGTGTGTTGTGCGATTGCTGCTGTGAGCCACGGGCCTCCATTCTGCTGGATCCCCCAAGAAACATGCAGGAAAGAATGCTTCCCAGGACTGTCCCTGAAGGATGGCATGCTGGCGCGTATATCCGCTGGCTCTGTCTCCATTGGTTGGGGGTGGTTCTGCGGGAGTTAATTCCATGCCCCTTTGGGCTAAGCTCCTGTTCAGGCTCAGGGGACTCCCTAGTGTCAGAGAAGCCCTAGGGCAGAATGGGGAGGGGTGAGCCACGTGCGCTTGAGGTGGGCGCTGTCACCTGCAGGCCCAGCAGGATGCACTGAGATCCGAGGTGGGCCAGGCATTGTGATGGTGATGGGGGGGAGAGTATGGGGGTGTCTGTTGTGCCTTTTCTAAATGTTTCAGTGGCTTTCAGTTGTACTTAGAATAAAATTCAGCCTCTTTAGGGTGACCTTCGAGGCTCTGGCTGAGTTGACTCTGAGCCACCTTCTCTATCCCCCCCACCCCTCTCCCACACCCCAGAATCCTCTAGCCTTGCTGTCTTCTGTCAGTTTCCAGAAAATTCCAAGCTCTTTCCTGCCCAAAGCCCCTGCATCTGCCATTCCTTCTGTCTGGACTGCTTTTCCCCGGACTGTACTACCTGGCTGCCCTCAGCGTCATCTCCCCCGAGACGGCTTCCCTGGCCTGCCTGCTCAGAGTCACAGTCCCAGCACCCTCCCCCAGCCACTCTCTCTCACGTCACTCTCCTTCCATTTCTTCACAGCTCTCAATCATTTCTGAAGTCATCTTATTTGGTTTTCTTTCAGCTATTACTAGACTCTAGACATCATGAGGGCGTGATCCCGGTCCCTCTTTTCAGAGGTGTCCCCCTCAGAACCTAGGACAGCACCTGGCACTCAGAAGGCGCTCAGGAAATGTTTGTTGACTGACAGTTTGAGTGGCCCAAGTCCTGTCCCCTCCTGGCCACTCCACCATACAAATCTTCTGGTGGTCTGCATGCCTCCCAGACAGAGGGGAGCCTGGATCTGAGCTCGAGAGGAGGAGAGTGGGTCTGTCCCCTCCCTGCTCCATGCATCATGCCTCTATTAATGCAGCCTGAGGTACTGCTGGATTTTCAGGCTACACATCATGCTGAGGACTGACAGTCACTGAGGCTGGTTGTTGTTGCCTCCTGCTCTGGGACTGGTGCTGGGGGTGCAGAGGCTGAGAGTAACAAGGAGCGGGCAGGAGAGACAGAGATGAGGATGGCTCACAGGCTGATGGAGAGACAAGGGAGACGGGCAGTTTCCTGAGAGCCAACCTGTGGATGGGGCAGGGAGTTCTGGGCCCTTGAGTGGTCATTGGGGTTCACAGAGCCAGCTCCCTTCGGGACGGCAGAGGTCAGCTCCCTCTTCCACCTCTGCTCTGCCTCCACGAGGACAGCCTCTGTCTTCCCTCAAGGGCCCCTTTAGGGCTGAGCTTGGCACCCCTTTGACCTTCCCCAAAGAATCCCGTGTCCAAGGGTATCAGTGAGCATCCAGGACTTCCCTGGAGATGCTAAGGGAGATGAGAGCAGTCGCTCCTTAGACCCACCCGCACGGCAACAACGGAAGAGACAGGCAAGGCAGTGTGGGTTGGAATGCGGAGCAGCCGGGTCTCTCCCTTGCAGCTGGGGGAGTGTGAACTTGCACAGCTCCGGGAGAAAGCTGTTTTGCAGTGTCTGCTAAAGCTAACCCTAGGCACGCTCGGGTCCAGTAATCCCACTCCTGGGTACAGACCCAACGGAAATGTGTTGAACATATGTTCAACAGAAGAAAGTTCAGAGCAGAACCATACATGATAGTCAAAAATGGAAACTACTCGGACGCCCTCCCAGGTGGACTAGGCAAGGAACTCGTGGACCAGCCATGCGGTGGAATCCTCTACAGCAGAGAACCAAGAGGCTACAGCTACGTGCCACATGCACGGCCGAGTCTGGTGGACAAACTGCTGGGTGAAAGAAGCCAGACACAAGAGCGCATCTGCGTGACTCCCATACCTGGCGGCAGAGAAGACAAAGCATCTGGTGCTGAAGCCAGGACGCGGCTACTTTGTGGGGCTCTGGCTGCCTGTAGGGTCCTGAATCTTGAACCGGAAGCTCGCTGTACGGAGTCTCACTGTGTGAAGATCAGCGGGCCATAACCGTACGATTTGTGCACTTTTCACATATCTATGTTACACTTCAATAGAAATTTAAAAGAAAGACCCCGTTAGTTAACTCTTCTCTCCCTGAAGCCCCTGCTCTGTCTTGGCACCTGTCCCCACCGAGGGTCAGCCGCGCCCCCCCCTCCCCCCGGAGCTTCCGCATCGCAGGCGCGCCCCCTCCCACTTCCCCTGGGACCTGGCATTTCCGCCCTAATTATGGAAAGCTTCTTAGCCCCGCCCCAGCTCCTGCCCCCCACCTCGCAAACTCAGCTCCATCGCCAGGGGCAACACATGGGGCACCCATGGACAGGACCTAGGCTCCGTGGGGAGGCAGTTCCATGACCACAGTTTGTGGCAACGTGTTCCTCGGGGTCTCATTCCTCACCCCAAAGGGCAGACCAACATATTTTTTCTGAATAAATACAATGCTTTCTGGAAGAGGAATTCCCAGGGCGACTGCTGAGAGAGTACCAGTGTCTCCTTCTCCCTCTGCTTGTTTTACAGAAGGGTAGATGGAGGCCAGGGAGTGGGGAGGCCACCGCACCGGCAGAAAGGGGACCAGAGCCGGGTGTCCTGGGCCTCCCCCGACGCTCCCTCCTCTCCAGGGCCTGCACGGGGGTGGGGGTGGGAGTGGGATGTGGGCTGCTGCTGGTGCCTCCCAGGCTTTGCATACAGGGCGGAACACCCCAGCACTCAGCCCCGGGCTCATTTGTTTGAGGAGATGCGCCTGCAGACACACACTGTGACTCTCAGACAATGGGACACCTGGGTGGGCAGGAGAGCTGAGGAAAGGGCAGCAGGCCAGGCACAGGGCACCCCAGGTCCCGGCCCATTAATTCAGACCTCCGAACCCTGGAGTTCCCACACTGCGGTGGACATTATGTTTTACGTCAAACTCCAGTCTCCTTCCTCCTGATGCCATAGGCAAGGGGGATCTCCTGGGCCTCGCTGGTCCCGGGCTGGAAAGAAACAAGGAAGAGAGAAAATGAAATTAGGCAGCACACACGTCAGCCTTGGGATTACAGTGCGACCTTCTTCGGAGCTTCTCCTCACGGATGGCTAAATTTTGCAAGCCTTTCAGCAGTGGTGTGCCGCTAAATATTTAGCAACCTGCTCTCCAGGAAAAAAAAAAGCCTTGTTTGTAGTGTTCACCAGTGTCCAAGGTGTGAATACCTCCCTGTGGCCCATTTCTAGCTATCAACCTAAGGTCAATTGGCTCTCAGAACTTGTGAAAACATAGCAATCAGCAGGACATCCGGGTGAGGGGAGCTGGGCTCGGAGCACTCCACAAGCAGGAGGTTTGGGAATTTGTCTGCGAGGCCTTTGTAAAACATGTGGCTGTTGCAAGACGATAGTCTTTTAGGTCCTGAGAGGACCTAAGGGGTCATCTTATGGTCCCCTTTGCTCCTAGGGCATTTTGGCTAATTTTGCCTGAAGTGTGGAGGAATTGCCAGCAGGGCTGCACTAAGAGCATGGAATAGTCTTGTTAAGAAAAAGTGACAGTAGAGTTAGAGAACAAAAGGGACCTTAGTGATTGTCATATTAAAAGCCCCTCTTTTTGAGATATTAAATTAAGACAGTGAGTTTTTAAAGACACAGTACTGATTTAACTCTACATGACAGAACACATCAGTGGACGCAGGACAAAGGACTTTTACATGAATTATCTGGTTGGAGCCCCTGGGAGGCACTGTAGCCCAACTACCGCCATGTCACGGGTAACACAGGGAGACCACGCACATGATCATCCAAACCAGGACGGTTTTAAGGCCGGCAGGAGTACCCACTGTGCTGGGACAACAAGGGTGAACTGGATCCTTCCACACATCCTGCAAGTGAGGTCAGCTAACTTGCTCAAGGTCACACGGCTGCAGGCAGGACACGGAGTGGCTCTGGGCTCACAGAAACAGCAAGCTCCGTGTGATTCAGGGCAGTGGTGTGTCTCCTTGGATCCAGAGGCGCTTCAGCAGTCATGTACAGGGGCTGCGGGCACTTTGCCCCAAGTGCATTCGGCTCTTTGGAGCCTTTCCTGAGAGCCAGTCCTGAAAGGGCGGGGAGTGCCTGCGGCGGGGCTGGCAGCAACGGGGTGCAGTGGGCACAGGAAGGGGAAGGAAGACTCCACCAGCTCATCCTTCTCTCTCCGAGTTGAGGGGTTTCACAAACAGACCCTGGCACCCAAACCGGGGAGCCCTGACTTTGGAAAGCTTGCTGGGCATGCAGAGGTTGGGGTAGGAGTGGACAGGGAGGGCCTGCTGGTGCCTTTCTTGTCCTCTCTATCAGACGCTATAGACTCTTCGTCACTACACCCAGCTGGCCACCTGGTTTGCAACGGGCGAAGCTGCCCCAGGAAGCAGCCTCTCCCAAGCCATGGATTGCCTCCTGCTTTGCACTGGGAGGGGAGAGGGGATGGCCTTACTGTGTCCAGGAATGGACCATCTCTGTCAGGCCACTCTGCACACCCCAGTTTGGAACCTAGTCCTCATCCTGGAGGACCACTCAACCAGGAGCCCTAGCCGTCCTCCAGGAAGCCTTCCTGAACCCTCCCCCTGGAGGAAGAATAAAGCTCCCTACCCTGAGGTCACTAAGCCTTCGATGTTCCTGGGCTGGAGGTTGTGCATGCCTCTCTAGAGAGTGAATCCCTTTGCAGGCAGCCCCTCCATCTTGTTTAATCCTCTCCACTCCAAGGAGCCTGTGCACAGGAGGCCCTCAGCAAATGTCTAGGAGGCAGATTGGGAGAACAAGCCTAGGACTTGGTGTGGCACAGACCTGTTATCTGCCACCTTTAATGTCAGTTAATTTATTCAACCCTTACTATATGCCATCTTAAGACATGCCATGTATTAACTCAATTAATCCTTACAAAGACCCTAGGCCCCTGGGGCAGTAGGTACTATTTTTTCCCCATTTGTCAGATGGGGAAACTGAGGCTCAAGTTTGGGGAAGAATCTAGCGTAAGGGTGTAGGATGCAGGGCCAAAAGCCTTGCATTTATCGTCCGGCTCTACCACTTCAGACAATTAACTGCCCTGTGCCTCAGTTTCCCCATGAGTCAAATGGGACTACCAATGATTCCTTTCCCATTCCCAGAGGGCCTCCTGCCTCTCCCAGGGTTTCTGGGAGGATCACATGGGATAACAGATGTGGATGCTTTCTGTAAATCGCAGAATGCTGTACAAATGTCAGGCGTTAATATGTGTTGACTCGGACGCCCTCTCTCACAGCCCCTCTGCGCTTCAGAAGTCACGGTGCTTCCAAAAACCAATCCCCCGGGATAAAAACTGGCATTTCCTAATCCCCTCCAAGCACAGAGGCAATTTGATGTCCACAAAAGACTTCTTAGGAGAATTCGATGACCTGATTAAAAAGGAAGGTGTGGGGCAGGTGTCTAGCTCACAAAAACATTGCCAAGCCTCCGTCTTCAGGACGGCTGTCCAAGAGGGAATTTTGTTCCTTCCCTTTTTTTGGAAAAATATTTTAAAATTGCTAAATAATAGAAAGATTAAAAATACAGATTAGCATAAACATGAAAATTAAAATACTCTATGATCCCACTTACCCGGAGAGAATTGTTCTGGGTCCGAGTGAGGTTTCTGGGCCATTATGATACTAGACAGAGCCAGGCATGCGGAGGTTCCCAGGTCAGGCTCCCCTCCACCCCCCTCCCACGCAGAGTTCCTGGGTGAGAACGTCGTGTCCGAGAAACAGCCGCTGATGGGCCTCCAATTGCTACTCTATTTATAAATGTATTAATGAATGTGGAAGATGGGTAAGGCTTAGAATGGGGACCCAAGGCCTGGAAGACTTTGAGGGGCTCTCTGCCACTTCCCCCCCAAATCTGAGCTGGCTGCCTCTTCAGGTCAGGACCTGCCCACCTTCCGCAGCCAGGGGCAGGTGTGAGGAAGCAGGACAGAGAAGGGCTCACATGGATCCTTGTGGCTTTTCAGGCAATGACCTTGCTCTCTAGTGAAGGTGGCCCCAAAGCATCCTGGGCATGGACCATTCCCAGCAGAGTCTCCTCTTCCTTTATGGGGTGTAGGAAAGGAAAGGGTGGGAGGAGGGGCCGGAGCCTGGGAAGGGTGGGGGTTCCCTTCCCAGCAGTAACCATGGGTGACATTTTGGTGGATAGCCATCCAAAGTCTGTTTTAATCTCTGGGTTCTGGGCTGGAGATGTCCTGGGCACATTTAGGCTAGAATGAGAAAGAACTTCCTGATCAATGGTTCATCGGATTTGAGGAAGGGGGTGCTGTGGGACCCTCACTGCTCCTCCTCCTAGCCCAGCACTCCCAGTGTGGCCCAGGCCTGGGAGGGGCCATGAATCAGTGTGCGGAGGAAAGGGAAGCAGGTGGGGGAAGACAGGGGGCAGGCCAGGCATCCTCTGGGCCTGCGCAGTCCTGAGAGCCCGCCTCACAGTGAGCTGTGGTCTCGCTCCATTAGCACAGGGTTAGCTACTGCCTATGGGACAGGGCTGCTTTGGCAGGTGGGGAAGCCTTGCTGGGTGTCTCCTGGCCTCACTGCTGATATGTGCTGGCCTCACTAGCAGCTCTGACTAGGCTCCATTTGTTATGGTAAGACAGTTCCAACAGGATCATTTTTCAAAGGCAGACGGAGGTCCCTCCCTATGGGTTCACTGTCGCCCCCGACACCTGTCCCCAGGGCTAGTGCAGACCCTCTGATCAGCCTCTGGCTACCTACCCCCACCCCCAAGTAACTCTTGGGGCTTCTTTGTATAGAGGAGTGAGTCATGGTCACAGAGATGGACAGCCCCGGGAAGGCCTGCGGTCACAGGCTGAGGTTGATTGGCAGATGCCCAGCCTTTGCCTGTACTGAAAACGTCTAGTTTGAGTTCTGCCTCCACACCTTGAAGCA